TGGCTTGTGACAGAAAGCAATTATCCATCTGTGTTCTGTATGATACAAAGCGACTTCAGCTTGGGCTCATATGCGACTTTGCTGTACTTGGTACTTACTTACTTACTCATGGAGCTGAGGCCTTCTTCAGCTACTCAAGAATTTCTCAGCATTTTATGGAACCCGAAGGCTCATCACCGTGTTCACAAGAGCCCTCCACTTGCCCCTATCCTGAACCAGATCTATCCAATCCATACCATCCCATCCTATCTCTCTAAGATCTATTCTAATATTGTCCACCCACCTACGCCTTGGTCTTCCCTGTGGTCTCTTTCCTTCTGGCTTTCCCACCAATATCCTATACACATTCCTTGTCTCCCCCATTCATGCTACATGACCCGCCCACCTCATCATCCTTGACTTGATCATTCTAATTACTATGCTTGGAGAAGAGTACAAGTTATGAAGCTCCTCATTATGCAGTTTTCTCCAACCTCCTGTCACTTCATTTTTCTTTGGTCCAAATATTCTCCTCAACACCCTGTTCTCAAACACCCTCAGTCTAGGTTCCTCCCTTAATGTCAGAGACCAAGTTTCATACCCATACAGAACCACAGGCAAAATTATAGTTTTGTATATTCTAATTTTTATGTTTTTGGACAGCAGATGAGAAGACAAAAGGTTCTGGACTGAATGGTAGCAAGCATTGCCCGAGTTCAATCTCCTCTTAATTTCCTCCTGAATCAGGTTTCGATCTGATATCGTTCCCAAATATCTGAACTGTGCCACATTTTCAAAACATCTGTTTCCTATCTTTATGTCATGATTTTGCCCTGCATTTTGGTGACGAGACATCAACATATACTTAGTTTTCTCTGTGTTTACTTCTAGACCAACCTCTTTACTTGCGTCAATTAAAGTTTGTGTGTTTTTCTTTATGGTATCCACATTATCACCCAGTAGATTCACATCATCGGCGTACACCAACAGCTGATGTGTCCCGTTTAGTTTCAGTCCCACCTGGCTTCCCTGGACCTTCCTAATTGCATATTCTAAGGCAAAGTTGAAAAGGAGTGGCGATAAAGCATCTTCTTGTTTTAGACCATTCTGGATAGGAAAATTATCAGACAAACGTTTACCTACACGGACTTTACTATACGTTTCGTTTAAACACATTTTAATCAACCTAACTAGTTTCATGGGTATCCCAAACTCTATTAGGATATTGTACAATACTTCCCTCCTAACCGAATCATAGGCTTTCTTGAAGTTTATGAATAGCTGATGTACTGTCTCATCGTACTCCCATTTTTTCTCCAATATCTGACTTGCTGTACTTGGTACATGCTCGAATATTATGAAGTTAATGTTCATAGTAAATGGAGATTCTAACAATTAGTGTCATCCAGTTATCGATGTTGCCTTACTATTAGCCGCTTAGTTACAGTACAATCCCCTTCCTGTATATTGAAGTAGATCTCTTCTACTTGTAACTTACCATTTTCATGGAATTCCTGCATCACTAAATGAAGTCTGAATATGCCTTATTACCGAAAGCTCAATGGCAACTGAGGTCCAGTCTGTTTTACATGTGAAGAGGGTAACATGGATTGCCCTATGAGAAAAGGTTATCACTTATGTATACACATATATATGGACACTTGCGTAGAACACTTGATGCAACCAGTGTAATGTGTATTTACAGAACATGACATCACTTATTATTTCCTAGAATAACATTAAATCAGTAATCTTTCACTTGTGCTTGTCTTTTGTTCTAGAGGATAACAAAGTTTTCACCCATTGAGAAGAGGTGTAGGCATTGCATGATAGGTCTAGTTGTGTTCCAGAATAAAAACACATATTTCAAAAACGTTTTCCCACACACGCTCAATATAAAAATGAAGGTTATATTCCAGGGCCTTCTTTTTAATGGTAAACATCGTGACTTTGATGCTGTTTGCTGTTTTTAGACATGATGGTATAGTAAGAGAGAAAGGAGCCTTAGATGTAGATATAATTATTGCATTAAAATTAGCTTGCAAAAATGTTATTTATCTAGATCAAGGGTAGTGGAGAACATAGTAATAGGATCTCTGAGGGAAGAAGTAACAGGAAGGTTTTAAAATTGCATACTGAGGAGCTTCATAACCAGCATTCTTCATAACATTCATTATTATTAGGGTGATAAAATCAAGGATGGGCTGGATGGGGCACATTCAACACACTGGAGAAATGCGCACAAAATTTTTGTCAGAATAGCTGACAGAAGAGGGAGCCAGGATATGTAATTCAATTCAATTCAGTTCTTTATTTGTTTAGCTGCTTATTCAGCAATTCAAAGGCCAATTAAGCAGGAGGAAAGAAGAAAGCAAACAAACACATACATGAAACAAAAGGCAAAACAAGGCAACTTGTGTCATTTAGACAATAACAGATATTCAATAAGTAGACTAGCAGCAACTGTTATGCAGTGATGATAATAACAACAGAACAGTTCTGTCATCTGGGATATAACATGTCACCTCCATCTTCAGTATCGAAGAGCTCTGCTTGCTACCTGCTTCATGCTGGTTCTTGATTGGCTTATTCTTTGACCCTGAAGATGTAGGTGACATGTTCTTCTGAAATATTGGTTGACTTTCCACGGACTACATGACATTAGGTCCCAGATGATATAATTCTTATTGTCATAAGTGGTGGGATCAATTGGTCCACACACGTCACTATGAATTATCTCTAATGGCTTTCCAGCCCTACTTCTTTCTGTATCAAATGGGAGTCTCACTTGTTTGGCCTGCATACAAACTGAACATATATCAAAATTTTTACACTCGCTCACACTTTCTGGTATCCCTTGGCATATCTCTTGTAGTTTCCTAAGATTTGCATAACTTATGTGACCTAGCTTTCTGTGCCACTCTACACTTATATCTTGCCGAGTCATCATAGCTTCATTCCTCGCACTAAAGTTAATTACAAACAATCCATTTTCATCCTTTTTTCCTTCGATTACAACATTTTTGTCCTTGAGTATCTGGACTTTCTCCTTTGTAAACAACACTTCTCCATCATTTTCTGTAATACAGTGCACTGACAGCAGGTTTTTGCTGAGTTCTGGAACATATGAAACGTTTTTCAAACTACACTCTTTAAATTCCAAATTGCCTATTTCTTTTGCAGTCATACTTTGATTTTTCTTTGCTACCCTTATACACTGAGTATACTGGTTAGTATGTATCAAATCAGTCTTCACATTTGTCATATGACATATGCTACCACTATCCACTACATACAATTTGTCGTCTTTACTTGCATCACTCACGTGGGTTTCTGCTGCTTCAGCTAGAAAATTTGACTTTGCTTCTTTTATTTTTATCTTTAAAATAACAGTCCTTTTCAGTATGGTTCGTTTTCTTACATACTGTACATTTTTTTCTCGTATCACTGTCCTTATTTCTAAAGTAACAGCCTTTTCAGAGTGATTATTCCTTTTACAGATAGAACAATTTCTCTTACCTTTGTTGGGGCAGTTGATCTGGGCATGACCTATTTGATTACAATTGAAACACTTGAAAGGGGTTTTACTTTTGGTTTTAGTTACTGTCTTAAAAGCTATGCTTTCCTCTTCTTTAGTCGTCATCTTGCACTTCACCTCTTCCAACATCAATCTGGCCACCATGTTGTCAAGGGTTCTGTCCACGGTCGCCTTTGAGTCCCAGGCGGTGCTGAAGTGTTTGTAGTCTTCTGGTAGAATCGTTGTTATTTTTGTCATGATCATGTTTTCATCAACGTTCTGGTTCAGTTGACAAAGCTTGAAGGCAATGTTCTGCACATGACTTATATTCGTCATCATATCCTTAGTTTTTGCCATACTTGAAGTTGTAGAAGTCTTGTAGCAGAAGGCACTTCTGTTAGGAGGTGTCTTGCTGATAAATTTGCTTCAAGGTGTTGTACATTTCTTTCGCGGTTGTGCATGTCACAATGTGGGTCTTCACATGTTTCTCTATCATTTTCACTATGTAGTATTGGCACTTTGCATCTCAGATCTTCCATTTCCTTATATTTTCTTTGTCTCTTCCTTGGTCACTTAACAGGTCGCTGCCATCAACGATGTTTATCAGTTCTTTTGCACGCATCAGAATCTTGATTTCAAAATCCCACAGTGGAAATGAGTTGGTGTCCTTCAGTTTTGGCAGGTGAATTACCTCTTCTGTCTCTGTGGTTGCCATTTTTTCGTTTTTCTTCTTCTGTCTTCTCCTTTTTTTCCCCTTTCTTTCCTCTTTTTTTGTTTTGTTTTTGTTTTGTTTTTTGTTTGTTTGTTTGTTTTTTTTTTAGCAAATCTGGGCCCATAACCTGTTGATTTTCTTTGTGTCGTGCTTACATATCATTTAACAGCCATACTGGATGAGAAGAAGCTTTTTATTATAATACAAAACCAAAACCAAAACAAATGAATATAGACCACTATTACCAACTTGAACATTTTTACATTAATAGATTCTCAGCAAACACCATGTGACCTTAGTAACTGGAAGCCAAGAATAATAAGGATACTCTTCAGGCAGATGGTGAACTATAGTCTGCACTTATATAAGGCTTCATACAGCTGTTACAGTCTGTTGACAAGCATATAGGCATCAGTGAAGAAACTGCTGTTGTCAATGGTGAAGGATGTCATATAGTTTGGACTAGAAAGGAGCACTGAACAGTGACTCCTTTCCCCAGCATATCATCTGCATGGAACTCATGACTGCCTACCACTTATGAGGACCTCCTGTAGTAAAGATATGTGTTCTTTGGAAATTCAGAATGGGGACCAATGTTATTATGCATACTGATTTGGTAATACACCTCCAAGAAATGATTTTTATTTAGGGTGGGGGATCAGTCAACTTGAACAACCCCATCCATATTCTTTCATTCCCTGGTCAAAATGTATAAAGTACATTGTAAATCATGATTATGTAAGACATTCTATGAATGTTACTGTTTTTGGCAGTCCATGAGAAATGCAGGTGAAGAAAGGACTGCTCAAAGTGATGGGGTATAGCAAGTTTCTGTGTGAACAAGTGCTATGCAGTGTCCTTGTCTTCATCTGCTCCTTCAGCTGCACATCTTTTATGAGGAGCCACTTTTCTTTAAAAGTAAGTATGACATGATTTGTATCATCATTACAGATGAACTGTTGTACCTTCTTATACAATTATTTCAGAATATTCTAGAGGAAATAAAATTTGTTGGTACAAGCTCAATGTTCTCCCCTGCTCATGTGATTGGTTGTGATCATTTCAGTAAATCCTCCCATGTGAAGGTGGGTTAGAATATCTCCACCTTAGCCCTGTGAGTTGTAGAAGGTGATGAAAAGGGAACCCAGTGCCTGGGGGTATAACTGAGCTACCATGTCATTATGGGACATAAATACAGAGACCTGGTCCTCCAGGTTGGGGGTTTTGCCACAAGACTAACTATTTTTCTCTGAAAAAAAAATTGTTGTGAAATCCAAAGAAGTGGAGACTTGAAAATCTCATTCAAGACAGATCTGGCAGAACCTTCTGAGGAAGGCTATGCTCAGAAAGGGCTTGTTTGCTTATTATTATTATTATTATTATTATTATTTCAGCAAATGGTAGATGTACAAACAAGTAATGTAATGTAATGATACTGAAGAGGAACAAAGAAATTATTGATATGAATGAAACATTAAAAAAATCATGTGACTGGGATCTTTCAATGGCTTGGAAGGATGTCAAGTATATTATTGGAACTAAGCAAGACCCCATGGTTTGAAGCCAGTCACAATAATGAACATTATGAACCGTTATATCCTGGGCCTTAGGCATAGCAGTCAGTGAACTGTCTAGGCAGGTTAGTTGTGTTGGGTATGCTTGTAGGCAGAGTGTTCAGGATGGGTTTATTTGGTTATGAGGCCAGTTTAGTTGCTGCAGAGCAGGATGGCTAGATTATTAGGACTGGGTCAGTCTCCTGGGCAATGTGATTCAGGGCAGGAGCTTCAGGATTTCAGCAGAGCTGAACTAGATTTATTGGAATGTGCAGTAGTGTGAAAGTTCATATACTTGTCTGGTTTGTTGATGGGCCTGGGGTGTCATCATTGTGAAGGTTGTCCTGTCTGGGTCTGGCATCACTGAAATCCATATCTGATAATCTCTCAGGGAGTGGCTTCTCTTATATCATCAAATTAGTGTTTTCACTGAATGGGGGGTTGTTCAAAATTACATCTCTTTTATATGGCTTGTATTTTTTAAAGGAATTTTTCTCTGAATACAGTTTCCCTCAACCCAAAGACATATTTTTTTTTCCTCTAGAGCTCTTGATCGAAACATTCTGCATCCATGATGTCTCTGCTCTGTATGCTGTCCTTAATCCCATCCTTCCATGCGTTCATTGGTCTGTTGCACCCCTTTTTCCATGTGGGTTCCATTCTGTAACCTGTACAGTGATTCTACAGTCCTCCATTCCATGACATGGCTGATCCATCTTAATTGCTGTTCACAGAATTACAGGGTTTTTGGACTTCTTCCATCATCTGGAATTCTAGGACATAGAAAACAAGACACTTTGGAAACTGCATCTGTTTCCATCTTCAGGTGAGGAAGGAAGACACCTACTCAGTGATTGAGATTAGCTCTTTCTAAGGGGCCCAACTGAGTAGGTGTCTTCCTTCCTCACCTGAAGACAGAAACAGATCCAATTTCCGAAATGTCGTGTTGTCTATTTACTAGAATTGCAGATGATGGAAAGAGTCCAGAAACCCAGTAATTCTGTGTGTTATCCACCATTGTCAGAATCCTGTCTACTTAATTGTTGTTCTTCTATTTCCTGTAATATGTGTTTATTCATTTTCATTTCTGTTCTGTTTCATTTATAATTCTATCCATTTGTGTTATCCTTGCCAAATGACATAGGTAATCATTTCTGTAGCTAATGATTTGTGTCTGTGCTTCCATTTTTATTGACCATGTTTCACCTTCATGTGTTAATACACTTTTTATTAGTGATTTGTATATTAATAACTTTGTTTAGTGTAAAATATTTCTATTCCGTAAAACTGAATTTAGCACGATAATAACTCTTCTTGTTTCACTAATCCCTTTTTCAGTTTCAAGGACAGATGAGCCATTCTCTTGAACTATTGATCCCAAAATACTTAAACTGTTTTACAGGTGGAATTCTATTTCATTGATTTGTTATTCCTCTGAATGATCTGTTTTTCTGTAATTTATTTTAAGTTCCACTTTCTCTATTCTTCCAATTTTCTCCCCATGTAATTAACGTCCTCTGCTCCTCTAGTAATTACAACTTGATCATCTGGAAAGAGTAAATTGTGCACATACCAGTTGCCTTCAATTTTTAATCCTATTTGTTTACATTTCCTAGATCATTCTTCCTATGCTGTATCTGTGTATATTTTGAACACAGTTGGTGGCATTGGGTAGCCTTGTAATAAACCCTTTGTGTTACAGTTAACAGGAGTTAACCCTGAAAGAAATTACAGGTCCCCCTGTTTGGGGGGTTGATGTGGTGGGCCAGCTCCCTACCCTTCACAGAGAGTTAACAAATGCTGAAAGAATTAAAAATGTAGGTCTTGTATGTAATTATGGTAAAATTATTTCTTTACATAAATAGTAAAAGGAAATATTTGTAGATAAATGCAATATTATGGGAGGTTCTATTTATTTTTCCTTGATTTATGGCTTTCCCTCTTTTTAACATCTAATTTGATTGATCCCAAGACAACAGACTCAGTGTTAAGTTTTTTTCATCGCATAAATTCTCCTCAGTTTATTGGTCAAATTGACTGCTTCCAACAGAAACCTTACACTGGGGTTTAACTATACATAATGATATAAAATAATTAATGATATAAGTAATAAACATTGAAAGAACAAAAGTTAAGGATCAAAGGAACAATGGTGCCATAAATGGCATGGCTTCAGTGCCTGTTCATTATGTGTGCTCACTCACCCAAAACTATGGAAGTGTAAGGGTGATTGTGGCAGACAACAGACATGCTGAATCAGAGTACATGTTCTGGAAGAGCAAAAAGTTCTTACACTAAACGTGGACTATTTATGAAATCAGAACTCACGAAATAATATATTGGACTTGGGTTGGGACCAGAAGACATTTACAAATGTAGGTGAGAACACTAAATAGAATTTTCATTATGTTATTAGGACATCCAGGGCCCAAAGTAGACAGGTTAGGGCCACTATCCCGGGCAAAGGGTTCTGAACAGGTCAGCTGTGTTGTATGGGGCTCTGAGAGAGCTGTAACTCAGCAGGGATCTAAGCTTGACTTTAATATCCAGTTGTTTAAGAATTCATATAACTGTTGCTAATTATTGACAGGTATAGAGAGTCATCAGTGAAGGGGTCGCTGTCCCACCAAACAAGGGGTACCATAATGCTGGACTGGAGAAATAACACTTTCGAAATTACTGTAGTGCAGAATTCTTGCAGTTTATGTGCTGTTTTGGTATAGGATTCTGTTGAAATAATAAGGGCTACTGATATTTGGTAGTAATGTCTTCCACATTTTTTTGCATTAAAGATGAAACATAAGTAAGTGTTCCCTTTTTATATGGTGCTGAACCCAGAATGCTTTACAAGGACAAAGGACTTCTTCCAACACAGCGTGGCGCCTAATGAAGAGCCCTTTTACTTCAGTTTGCAGTGACCAACAAGTTTTTCTTCCCCCTGTTATTGCAAAGGAAGTACTAGGAAGCTATCTCTACTGAAGGTGTGTTTTTGAGGTTCTAAATTCTAGGCATGTGAAAGTATTGAACTTTTGAGACAGAATTGAGAAAATAAATCTTGATCTCATTTTGAAACTTGATTTTTCAGGCTCAGACTTTGTTAATTTTCAGATAGCTGAAACTGGTCTAGTAAAGACATTTTTCATTTCTGTCCAGATTCTATAAATTTTTCCAAATTGTCATCTTCAATTTATTGAAAAGGTTGTTCATGTACATGCATATTAAATTCATCATCAGACAGTCATTTTGATTCAGCAAAGGAAATTACAAATTATGACCAATGGTAATGATATGCAGCAAATTCTAATTATAGTTGATACGGCTCCATATGTTTCTCACTCTGTGATTGCAGTCCTGGGGTGGCATCAGTAAAGGAAAGCTGTTCCTAGTGTTGAAGAATATCTAGTTTTAGAGTCACAAACCCCATCATGGGATCTTACTCTCCATCTGCATTTTCAACCATGCACCTTCTGTGGAGAGCCCCTTTTCTGCAGGTATGTGTTGCAACAGATGTTCTCATCATCACAGCAGGACATCATATTCAGATGCCAGGCAAGGCATGTGAATTTCAGCTGTGTGGGGGCCCTAAGCAGATAGTGACTTGCTTCATGGGTATATTAGACAGAGAGGGCACTTGCAGAGGGGAGGGTCTAGGAACAGGTTCAAGTAAAGGGGAGTTGAGACCAGGGTCTGAGCAAGGTAGTACATACATGTAACTCAACTTTCACTTTATATACACAATATACTTACAAATTATATGAACACTGCATACACAAGAACAGCAACTACTTGACAACCAACATATAAGCATAGTGTTTACATACATGAAGTAGATAACTGGAACTGGATAAGTTTCCGAAACGTCGTGTCCTCTTTACCTAGAATTCTGGACCATGGAAAAGTAAAGAAACCCAGTAATTCTGTCATCCACCATCATCAGAACTCTTTAGAATCTACCTTATTTGAATGTTTACTAAATTTGAATTTATTTTGTGGGACTAATGTATTGTAATATAACGCAGTGATTGAGTCTAGCTCTATCTAATCGACGTAACAACGGCCAAAGTGCAAAAACTCGCTAAAACTGAGCAATCCCTAGGATCCCTAGGAATAGTAGAGAATATGACAGCAACTAAGCTAACGATGCCGGAATTAACGCCATGATTAATGTAAGACTTGCATATAGATGGCNATCTGCAGTTATTAGTAATCCTCGGTAGTTAGTATTCCGTGGCGGTAGCCATTTTTGTAAATGGAGGCAGATTGAAATGGTAGTCTTGTCAAAGTCGTCCAAGTCCAAGTTTTCCCGCACTCGCAGACTGGGATCGTCGGTTCGAATCCCACTGGAGGCATGGATGTCTGTTTGCGTTTATTCTGTGTTTAGGTAGCGCCCTTCCGACCGGCTGATCCCTCGTCCAAGGAGGCGTACCGACTGGTAAGATACTGAAAAAGCGGCCAAAGTCCGCGAGGGCCTTAGAGCTATATAGATAGATAGGTGGAATGGAGTGGAAGTTTTTGATTTAATTAAACCAAATTTCATGAATGTATGGCGTATGTAATTTCAGTATTAAGTTGACAAAACGTGTCGACATAAGATTTTGCAGTAAGTGGACAATTATTGTGATACTTAGGAGCATGTGTAATGTTTATGATATATGTTCGTGTAGTTTGAAACCCAGCCGTATGTAGATTATTCGTGTTTGTGGCCTGTTTCCATCCTCAGGTTACAAGATAAGGTAAGGAATGCTACCAGGTTGGGCCCCCCTCCGAGGCCACGGTTTAGTTATCCCATCAGTACCAAGGAAACAAAATGAGTTTATCGAACAGCATGGTTTGAAGAAACTGGGACTGCAGACAGCATTCAAAATATCTAGTGAAAAGATCATTTGAAAAGGTATCTGAGTGACCAACCTGTAGAGGGATTATAATTAATGATCATGTAGGCGCTGTATAATTGTTACTATTTGTTTGACAGTTCTGGAGAGGCATCAGTGGAGAGACTGTCATCACAACTGATGTCAGAGCGAGACAGAAGCACATAACAAATTCCCTGCCTTTGCTATATGTTCTGTGAAGACATCCTGTATGGGATGTATGTAACACATGAGATTTATCTGTACAGTTCTGAGACTGAACATTTTTGTGTCAGTAGCCATGTATGTATTCTAGAGGCCTCAGACACATCTCACCCCAGAGATCTGCTATCCTGGCGGAGGTGTTCCTTAGTTTTGCTGAGTGGTAGAATAGTTCCTCAAATTAGGCTCAACCATTTTTCAATATTCACTGATAATCCATTCTTGAGCAAGTGCTGTAGAGTCAGTCTAGCGAAGGATAGGGTGCAAAATGTATCAGGACTAGGCAAGGGGCATAAAGCTGGGAAGGGCAGAAGGCCACACACACACACACACACACACGTGTCAGTGCCAGTCTTCTTCTGTGTTTGGGTATAGCACTCTGTTGAAATGGTAAAGAGTACTGAGATTTTGCAGGACTTGGCTGTCACTTGATATCATTGCAGTTGATGAAATGTCAGCAGCAATCATTGGTGAGTAGCATATGAATTCGCTTGGAGAGCAAGTAGCAAGCTTGTGCATCACTAAAGATTTATTGCTTCTTGTAGTACCAAACTCAGTGTCAGGGGATCATTTTGACTTAGCAAACTTGTGGGTTGGTTAACACACTTCATGGTGGACTCAGATTTATGAGTAGAATTTGTATAGCTTTAACTGTGCTGTCCATGTTGGCAGTCCTGGAATGGTGGCATCAGTGAAGAGTAGCTGTTCCCAGCGATGAAGGATGTCGAGTTCCTGAGTGAGCAGGGCCCACACAGTATCTTCCTCTCTGTGGATCCATGTAAGAGGCATAATTCAGTAGTATAAGGTTTGTTAATGTTTTGCCTGATGATGACTTCATGAGCCAAAGCATGTTGCAACAATGTATGACCAGTAAACTGTGTTATGCACAGTGAGCTGTGAGTGAATTGTTTGGTAAACTGTTATGTTTGACAGGAAAAACAAAACTCATATATAGCATCTTCCTCTGTCTTCCACTCTTCAGCTGTCTAGCCTGTTCAGGGATCCCCTGTACCGAAATGTGTGTGTGTTCAGATGCCAGACACATGTACCAGTTTTTGTTAGAATATACGGTGCCCCATTTAGGCTGGTCAAGGTCCCTGAGTGTTTCTGAACCTTTCCATTAGCAGACATGCCCCTGCTCAGTGGTAATCTTTGCCTCAGACTAATATGTTGAATAGTGTCTTGGGGTTTGCAGCCCAGTGGAGCTCATTAATACTAGGTGGTTCAAATATGACCGGGACTGATTTGTGTGTAAACAAGCTGCACCGCGCAGCAGCTGTGCTACCTTGAGAGAGTGAAGCCACAACCTCCACCCTCCCTCCTGTTCAGGTTAGAACCTGTTCAGTACTGTCTGGGAGTTGCTAGAGTGATGAGAGAACAGAAGGTACCACGGAGCATGGAACAACACATTGTGATCAAATTCCTCGTTGGAGAAAACGTCCAGTCCACTCAAATTCACCAGACTCCAACATCAGTATGGCGAAGAGTGTCTCTCACGGACCCGTGTGTTTGAGTGGTATAAGTGCTTCAGAGAGGGCAGAGAACGCGTGGAGAATGAACCGCATGATCGTTGGCCGCAAACATCCATCACCGAGCCGAACATTGATCATGCAGACGTGCTTATTCGTGAGAATAGGCGCATCACTATCAAGGAACTAGGAGTAATGCTGTCCATCAGTGTTGGTAGTGTAGAAGACATCGTGAAATACCACCTGCACAATCGTAAGGTGAATGTGAAGATGGATGTGAACAAACTGGTGCGTATGCAAGCTGCCAGTTGTCTCCTACAGCAGTTTGAAGATAAAGGTGATGCATTTTTGAAGTCTATAATGACCACAAAGTCTATAATGACCACAGATGAAACGTGGGTACACTACTTCATTCCCGAGTCCCAGTAGTCATCACGCAAGTGGCAGCATACCAGTTCTTCCAAACCCAAGAGAGCGCCGAGGAGCCGTTCAGCAGGGAAAGTGATGGCAACGTTCTTCTGGGACTGGCAGGGGGTTATCCATGCAGACTTTCTGACAGATGCCAGAACAGTCAGTGCAGCTTATTACTCATGCCTCCTGGCAACAGACGTGAAGGAAAGGATCCGATCCAAGTGGAAGACAGGTGGAAAGTGGGTAGCCTTCCTTCAAGACAATGCATGCCCCCATACGGCCAAAACAACAATGGAAACCCTTCGGAAATTGAAATGGAACCTTCTGACACATCCGCCATACAGTCCCGATTTGGCCCCAAGTGATTTCTACCTGTTCGGAAGGCTCAAATCAGGTGTGCAAGGCATGTGGTTTGTGGACGACGCCGTAATTCAGACTGTTCGGGAGTGGATACGCTGCCAACCACAAGTCTTTTTTTTTTGGGCATCAGGATTCTTCCAGAAAGTTGGAAAAAATGTGTTGACTCCAGAGGGGAATATGTTGAAGACTGACATGTGCAAGTCAGTGTTTGGCAATTATGTTTTTTTTTTTTAATCTGTTCCGGTCATATTTGAACCACCTTGTATCACCCAATTCCATCTTCCTGTGTACCTGTCAGGTAGAGTGCACTAGTGATACATATGACACAGAAACTACGACAGCTTCAGTAGAGTGCAACAACAGCATTCTCAGCATGAGATAGAACTAAATATTGATGTGCATGGAAGCACAGTGAACTAGTATACAGTTCAGTGGTCTCCCCAGAAAGAAAATAAATTACCCGAATGTGGCCGAAACATGTCAAAAACTAGAAGAAATACATGATTACAGCCATTTTAGAAATTGGATAATGACTTTTAATGTATAGAATATGGTTTTAGTGTCCTATTGACATGTAATGATTTTAACAATGTCAAAAAGTACTGAAGTACTTTTTTAGTGTGAAACATGTTCCTAATGCCTTTTATATTGTTGCATTATTTATGGATACTTTGATAACAAGGATGATCATTCAATAGCTTGTCTCCTTGACAGTGAAGCATATCTTGAAAACTATACCTCACAGGACACATTTTGTACAATATATTTGACGTTCTTCCTTTTGTTTTATCATGTATAGTGTGTTCAGATTTACAGTTTGTAAAGCCCTGCATAATTGTTACAGTGTATTGGCAGTTCGGGAGTAGTATCAGTGAAGGAAATCCATGTCGCGTTTGTGGGTGAGCAAGGATTGTGCAGCGTCTGCCTCTTCAGTTGTGCACCATCTATGAGGAGCCCCCGCATGACAGGTATGTGTCATCTTACATTTGCTCTTCTAGGCCAACATTTTTGGACCTTGTTCAGTAGATATAGTGAAATGTAATTTTTACAGTGCATTATAAACTCATATAACTTTCCCCCCAGTTCAGTACTGTAAGGAAGTAGGCAGGGCATGGAGGACTCCATAGCCCCTACTCTAGGCAGCTGGATATGTGTAACAGGACCTTGTATACAGGACAGGTGGTGAATGGGGGAGAGGCTTTCAGGTAGTTAGTGTAGCAGCATGTGTTTGGTCTCATATGCAGGGTTGTGACACAGGGTTAGTGATTGGCTTGCTTTGTCTAATGGTATGAAATGAGATTCCCATTTGAACTCCTGCTTTCAGGTGATACCTTGTGTTAGGGGAGCCACATGTAGGCTTGGTTGGTGGCATTCGTTAGAACAGGCCATCAGCCAGTCAGGAAATAACAGCACTTCCTGTAGTTCAATCCTTGTTACTAACAAGAGGAAAATAAAACTCGTGTTGTATTGTATGTACATCCCAATAATTTGCTGTACCATTTGTATTGCAGACCAGATCATAGTCCATGCTGGGTGTGTACAGGAGGCTTCTAAGATGGCGCAGGCTATGGATGCAAGAATTCCACAACAAGAGGCAGTAGACTAAGTTAATTTTGCTTCCATGTTGCGTTACATTAAATTACTTCATCATCACATTTTCATTCAGTTTAGAGAATTTCAATGACACTCAAGCATCAGTATTAAGTAGCAACCAGGAAATGCCTGGAAATGTATGAATAGTGCTGTCTTTTAAAAGCCATGGGAATAAGATTCGGGGCAAGAGCACACTGACGCACACGTGTTAGTGCTTGTACTTGTGTGCACACTTCTTCTGTGGTGTTACAGTCATGAATTGATCATAAAATAATATCTCTTAATATAATATATTTTAGTACAAATCAATGTGGTACATTATAGTACAGTTTGCTACAGTTTATTGTATGTTAGTATAATTTAATATAGTAAACTATCTTACCACCTGCAGCTTTCAAGTATCTGTAGTCTGCCTTTTGTATCCAGTGCAGGAATATCCCACATACATGGTTTCACTGGTCTAACAGACAATACTCACTCCTAGGTCAATATCACGTTGCCGCACATTGCTGCCAACACTCATATTTATACAGCTCTCGATGTCCAACCAACCTGTAGATCATCACATGTGCTAACCAATCACATTGCTGCCAATGCTCGTATTTATACAGCACTTGCTGTCCAGCCCACCTTTGCGTCATCGCGTGCGCTAGCCAATCAGCGCTCACAATTGCAACTGCAACTTTTGCTCCGCCCATCAAGCATGGTATAAAAGGCAGAGCCCAAAGCTCGCAATCATCAGCGATCACATTCAGTTATCAGAGTCATCAGCTCTTCACTGCTACTCGACAGCTAATGTAGCTGCCGCAGCTCTCCAGCAACCACGCTCTGCTACTAGACAGTTAACGTAGCTGCCGAAACTCTCCAGCAACCATGCTCTGCGACCAGGCAGCTAACGTAGTTGCCGCAATTCTCCAGCAACCTCGCTCTGTGACCAGGCAGCTAATGTAGTCGCCGCAAACCTCCAGCAATGGCGCCGTAGGCAGCTGTTCCTACGCACCACATTACCAGCTGGACAAACCAGCTGAACAGCCATAAAGACTTGGTCTACTACAAAGGAGCAAATTCTACCAGTGCACTCACGGTGGAACAAACTGCCCAACTTTTGACATTCCACATAGTTTCGCAGCTATTCTGTACATTCAATTTATACAATTTAATATATACAATTGTTACAGATTTACGTGGTTGTCTTTTAGAACATCGACAATCCCACACCAGCTTTGGACACCATGGTACTTGGCTTTAGTTTGTGCACACATTGGAAAAGTGTATGGCTTCCACACAAGATCAGCATTTACTGAAGGCTGCAGGGTGATGGGATTTGAAAGCTGTGTGTCCTCCACTCTTTGTGTTATGATTGCTGTGTATCTGTCACTTGTGTAAGGCTGACAATTTCACCGCCATATGTGAGCCAATTGCATAGAAATTGTGGGAGTCTCAATGTCTCACAACCCTATGGGTCTTCACGGCCTGTTACAGGGATAGCTTGACCTTATTACATATCTGTCTCTTGTGTAAGGCTGACAACCTCACTGTCATCTGTGAGCTGATCATTTAGAAAATGTGGGAGCCTCAATGTCTCACAACCCTATGGGCCTTCACGGCCTGTTACAGGGATAGCTTGACCTTATTATGCATCTGTCTCTTGCTTTTTATATTCAGTGTCCAACTTACATCTGAATGTGCTATTATATGTGTATTGTGGTTAGTGAAGGGGAGGCACTTTAGTTAGGTTAGAAGAGTATAGCAGCTGCTGCGGTACCTTCAGTTCTGAGTGCCCTGCAAGCCCTTAATCTTGCTGATTAGTTTAGAAATATAGGCCCTGCAGTTGGTGAGATTCTATACTAATATTTAGGACACTTTAATTTATTTGAATATAGTACAGAGTAGCACAGCACAGTAACATGTTATAAAAATTGACATGTCAAAGTATAATGTGGAAAATTTTATTGTCTTGTCTAGCAGACTGTGTGTCTAGTAGCTTACAGTTCAGTACAGCGTATCAGCATGGTGACCAACTTACTGTCCTGAGCTCCTTCACTGTTCCTTCCTAGACTTACATTTGTTTTAACCTGCCACAACCTTCTCTGACAGTTTGCATTTACCTTTTTCTGCTTGAGTTTTTCAAAGCCTTTCAGTTTCAATACTTCTGCTACTGTATTTCTGAATATTTCTACTGCACTTCATATCTTCTGTCTGTCAACTTACCATCCTCTGCACTCCTGAACTTCTCAGCTCCTCTGTTACCTTCTTTTGTAAATGCTGCCTTCCTGACTTTCGTGAACTGTTTTAAAATCCACCATTTCCTCTCCTGACCCCTTCTAATTTCCTTTCTGTGAGTATCATTCCTGAACTCCCCCATTCCACCACTTGCTATCTTCATAGCTCTCATTTCTCTTACTATGTCATTTCCCCTTTCTGCTTTCCTTCCATACTGCATTTTGCTGATTCTCTTTTTTTTCCACCAGTTCCTTTCAAGACCTGATCAGTTTCCTTTCTTTAATTGCATCTCCTTCTTTCCATTCCCTACTTGACTTTCCCTTCCCACTTCCTTCTTTCCCTAACTTTTTTGGAATCTTCATCCTTCCACTTTTGACTTCTCCATACATAATTTTCCTGAACAATTTTTCTTTGTTTCTTCTTCCCTTCCTGACACATGTCTGTTTCCACCACTTCCTCTCCAGACTGCATCCATTAGAGGAAAAGAAGGGAATTAAGGAAAAGCAAAGTTGCAGAAGAGAATGGAGGGGAGTCTGAAGGTGAAGTGGTGTGAGTTGAGATGTTCACAAAATTTGAGTATATTGGGAGAAGGGGGAGGTTAGGAAATGTTGAGAGCAGAAGGGGTTTGTAAACGTTAACAGTGGAAGGGGATTGCTAAATTGATGTAAATGAAGGAAGGAAGATGTGACCTGTTCAGGAATATAATGTGAACTGCAAAGATGGACCATCAGGTGTGTATCTGTGCAGAAATGTAGTAATTTTACAGTGCTGTAGGAATTCTGTAATGTCATTTTAAATTTGAATGTGTTTAGTGTTCAGGTTAAATGTTTATGTATAGCCTCAGTTCTTCAGCTATATTCTTACAAGCCCTTTGATTGTATTGAAGACTACAGTAGATGACTTAAATGACACACACACACACACACACACTCTGTACCAATCCAGCTGATATGGTAGTGGTTGGACAGACAGGTCTCACTTGTGTGTGATATTGCCACTCAGTCCATTGTTCCTAAGTGTAAGTAGATTGAAGAGACAGATGATAGCAACAGATGCAGGCAGTGAAGAGTCCGACCACCTGTGAAATGGACATATATTTGGCAGTTAGTGGAGTGGTGCATTTACTTTCTTCTGTTTGTCCCCCCCCCCCGAAAGACGTCTGAAATCCTTCACAGATCTAACAGTGAATATCCAAAGTTAAGAAATTTAGATCTGTACCCTTTTCAGTGGATCTATACAGCCACGCACCCATACACCTTCATGGTGTAGTGCTTAATTAGTTAAGCATAGGGACAACTTTACTGTACCCTACCTTTATCCTTGTCTGTATGATTGGTAGCCATGGCTGCTGAAGCAATGTGAGAGTATTGCGGTAGGATTTGTGGTGTATGTGATTCAAATCCTATCCAATTTATTGTTGCTTTTGGTTATGTTGTTACATAAGAATACTTTAATTTCATAATTTGAGTGTTACTTCCTTTCTTACAGTTGGAAATACAAGGTGGTTCAAATATGACCGGGACTGATTTTTTTTTAAACCAAAATTGCCAAACACTTACTTGCACATGTCAGTCTTCAACGTACTCCTCTCCAGAGTCAACACATTTTTTCCAACAGTCTAGAAGCATCCTAATGCCCTTTTCAAAAAAAGTTTTGTGGTTGGCGGTGTATCCACTCCCGAACATTCTCGATGACGGCTGCGTCATCCACAAACCGCATGCCTTGCAAGTCTGATTTGAGCCTTCCGAACAGGTAGAAATCACTTGGTGCCAAATCAGGACTGTACGGCGGATGTGTCAGAAGGTTCCATTTCAATTTCCGAAGGGTTTCCATTGTTGTTTTGGCCATATGGGGGCATGCATTGTCTTGAAGGAAGGCTACCCGCTTTCCACCTCTCTTCCGCTTGGATCGGATCTTTTCCTTCACGTCTGTTGCCAGGAGGTCTGAGTAATAAGCTGCATTGACTGTTCTGGCATCTGTCAGAAAGTCTACATGGATAACCCCCTGCCAGTCCCAGAAGAACGTTGCCATCACTTTTCCTGCCGAACAGCTCCTCCACGCGCTCTTGGGTTTAGGAGAACTGGTATGCTGCCACTCGCATGATGATTGCTGGGACTCGGGAATGAAGTAGTGCACCCACGTTTCA